GGGGGGGAGACTAGTCCCCGTACAAAAAAAGTTGAATAAAGGTTAAAACGACATGACCGACATTTGAAAGGAGGACTACAACATAAACACTCTTGTTAATATGAATGTAACAACTGATCACATATACTTAATTTAAAGGTATAAAAAGTTAAGCAAATATACACATGTAATTTGAACGCAATTTGCAAAAATCCAAGTGTCGTTTATACTGAAATCTATGCAGCATAAATATATTTTCCAAATTTTATGTGTCACACAAAAAAATCCCACAAACACAAATGTAAGCGTGAAATGATCACAAATATATGCCACAATAACACTCAAACAGAAGAAATGAATGAATGATTTTTAAAATATATTTAGCAAATTACAAACATAACTCGAATTCATATTTTACGTTTTTTCCCACTTCTTTACTCACATACTGCACATCTAGTATAAAAAATAATTTTAACCAAATTCATCTTGACAAATGTTACAAAAGAGTTAAAATGTGAAACTGTGCTTTAATTCTTGGGGGAACGTTTGATTCCCGTATTTTCTAACTTGTAAATTTTCAAATTATGACAAAACCTCATGTCAGAATTTGTATTGGTGAGAATTTGTTTTTGTTTTTTGTTGTTTTACATTTTTACAGCTTTAAAGGTGAAGTGTGAAGTAAATTCGGTAACCATCTTTTGAGTAATACTCGGGGCTAAAACTATTTCAAGCATGCTTCCTTCCTGCCACCTACCCAGGTTCAAAGTTAGACCCACAGCAACGAGCTTGACAACAAAAATGCTTTTGTTCGACAATGTGACGTTTATGAGAGTGACGTCATTGATAGAATGCCGAGTCGCCAGTTATCTGTACTGCATTTTTAATGTTAGTTATTCAGCAAAATGCCTAGGCACTGCGTGCAGTTGTAAACACTATGCAGTGTTTACATTCAGTCAAACAGTTGTTTAGGTAGCCAAAAGAAGAGAATAGGACAGTAAACCACCAGTATACAGTTTCATTCTCGCAAAGCAAATGAATTTCACTGTGGTGTCGACGAGCATTCTTTGTTTCAAGCATTTCGAAGACCTCCGTTTTCTCAACCGTTTTGCTTATGATACAGGTGTAGCAAAAAAAAAGTAGGTGTGACAGTCAATAAATAACCAGCTGTTGTTTATGAAAACATTTGATTCAGAATATTATACTGTACTGGTATATGAATGGAAGTGTATATGAATGGAATAGTGTATGAAAAATTTCAAATTATATGAGTGCATGGATGGAATCCTCTGTAATGTTTGCAACTAACAATGCTTCTGATATAATGTGTGGAGTGACCTCCAACGCAACAGAATTACCTTAGCAATGACAATATAGGACACCAACCCACTACGACGTGTCTTCTCAGTGCTAGCAGGAACACATGGACCATTGTGTGCAATCTACAGCACGGCACAGTATCAATTGCAAACAATAACACTATGCTAATAATCACAGCCTATTTAGCCTACCATTCTTCTAATCTCAATGGTCTCGTCTCCAATCCGTGTCCAGTAGTTCGGGCGCAAAGTTTTCCGCATCCTGAGCATCTGGCTCATACATGTTTGGTCCAACATTCATCTTGCCAACAACCTCCTCTTCCTCCAACTCTTTCAACACCTGGATCCCCTCAGACAAGTGTGAAACATCGATTTCTTGCTGGCTTTGTACACTTTCCATTGAGAACCCTGCCACTGTTATCCTAAAAGTGATGTCACACTTCCGGGTTTGACGCTCGTTAGGATCTCACTTTGGGAAAACGATTCCTTTGTCGAATTTACAAAATAAAAATTCTTTTTTCATGTTTTATTGAATGTATTTTGTTTACTTAAATTACTTGTGACATAAAAATATTTCATTTGGTATTTTCTAAAATTACTTCACACTTGAACTTTAAGACAGCATTTACCCACAGCAATATTATTAATATTCTCACAAAATATCAATTTTAATAACATTACCTGACATGAAACACGGATGACACATTTAAATGGAAAAATACAGGGTATAAAACAGGCCAAATACAGACACGCCAAGTTACATCACAGAACAAGAATACACAGAGTTATCATATAAAGACCATCATGATAACTTTGTTGCTGATTGTAGTAAGTGGTTTCAAAAAACTGCAAATTAAAAAAAAAAAAAAAACACAATATGGGATATTAGAAGGGCAACAGAGTTTCCCCAGGGGGAAAATATGTACCTGTATCATTAAATCATAATAATTGTATTAACTTTTACTGATATTTAATTTTTAAAAAAGCAATTGTGTTTTCAACTGAAAGGTAATTCACAAACTTGATCCTGTTCAGTCATATTTGAACGACGACCAAATAATGGCATAAATGGAGATGAGTCATGAGCCTTGCGTCATATTTACAGACAGATATCTGAGACAGGTAATAAAATGTTCGCCTAAGTGACGATAAATTGATTTAATCCGCTCAATAATCTAACATTTCAAAAGTGGATGAGGCCCTTTCCAATGTCGCCATCTAGTGAACTAAGGCATAAAAGCACCTGACGTCAAGTCGAAAAATTCATTCAATTTCAATTTTGACAATAGAAACCA